GGAAGGATGGGGAGGGGCGTATCGATTCAAACCCAAACAATAACAAAGCCATCAAAGGCCGCCCGGGGCCAGCTCCGCCGGCGCTGGGTTTCCCGGAGATTTGGGGGTGGGGGCTGCGGGCTAGGGGTGTGGGGGGGGTGGGATCCGAGGGCTGGAGCTGGAGCGTGGCGAGTTGTGAGCCCTGGAAGGGCGTTGGTGTGGCCGGCCGGCGCGGAGGCCGCGAGGAGGGACCGCGTGTGTGTGTGTGTGTGTGTGTGTGTGTGTGTGTGTGTGTGTGTGTGTGGATGCCGACCAGGGTGGTCCTCTTGTGTGACTCAGCCCCGAGACCTCCAAGGCTGCCGGGGCGGGGTGACGATGCGCTGTGGGCTAAGATCCTGGGGGTGGTGATGGTGGTGTTTTGGGGGGCGAAGGCTGTGCAAGACGTGAGTCACCGGCGTTTGCACACCGAGGGAGGGAAGGAGTCGGTCCCAGACAGGCCTGCGAGCAGAGTGGGGGCGAGCCCCGTTTCCCACCGAGACCCTGGAGGAGGAGACCTGGGCGGCGAGGAGCCGGTGATGAAGAGCCTCGATTTAGAAATGCAAAAAAGAAAGAAAGAAAACTTAAAAGGGTATCAGTGGGTCCTGATCCCTTCAGAAATGATCCGTGTCCGAGTGTGCCTGAGAGAGGAAATCACGACACAAATGTTAGCTGGCTGGTGCCAGATGCTGCCTCAGCCCCTTCCGAGAGGGCGGGAGGAAGGAGGAAAATTCCTGATCGCGGGCGAGGGTGGGAGAGTGCCGCTGTGTTTAATCAGAGGTTGCTGGGGTAGTCACCTCCTCATCAGCTTGGTATTAGCAGTCAGGCGATACCGGCTATTATTGGCCCCGACCTCAGCCTTGGCTCAAAGGAAAGTCCCCACGTACACGTGGAAATACCACGGAAAGCCAGCCGATTCCGCTTTCTTCTTTTGTCCTTTTAAACTTCCCCGAGAGTTGATGACGACGGGGTGAAATGAGTGTGTAATTCACCAGTGGCCAGAGTAATGGAAAGCGAACCGCATCCCATTTTCGTTATTTTTTAAGTCCGAGGGGCTTACAGGAGGAACGGGCCTGTGAGAGATGCAGTTATTAACGCATTTAAATGTTTTCTTTACAAGTTTTTCCTGGTGCTTATAAAGATGCCCAGGGACTCCATAACTTTTATGGATGCCTCTTACAAAACATTACATATTTCCCTTTTGTTTGTGTTCTGTGGCTGGCCTAACTCATTCATTTTTGATGACGAAAGGAGAAAACCCAGGGGAACAAGAATTACTTCCTTTTTTGCAGATAGGAAAATGAAACGTAAGTAGCATGACACGGGGTCATACGACAGCCAAGGGAGCCGATGAAATGACCCAAATTCTGCTCCCTGAGTGTTCAGAGCTCTCCCTTAGGTCAGTCTTAAAACTCCTGTGACCCGGACATTGAACAGGACACGGGGAAAAGGACCAGTGCCCGGAGTGCTGCAGACACCTCCAATCCCAGCATTCTGGACCAGGCTAGCCTTGCCTAGAGAAACCCTGTCTAAATAAATAGATATTTTAAAAACACCAGCGCGACTCCAGTCCTTTATCAGACCCTCAGCTCTGCCCAAACAGGACTGTTCCCGCCTGTTTTCACTCTCCTAGCGCATGCATATCCCAGACTTTGTGCCTCTGAAGACTCCGGATCTCCCCGTCCTGGAAGTGCCCCGTCCTCTTCTAAAGGTGTATGAGGTTGGGAAATAAATCCGGGGTCTTACGGGTGCACCCCGCCACCAAGCTACACTCCAAAGCTCTCCTTTTATTCAAAGCCTGGCCTTCTGAACTAGGGAGGCAGATGTACTTCCACATTTTTGCTGAACCAAATCCAAGCATGCATTCACTGCTCCCCTCCACCCATCTGACAGTCATGTGGGGTTATTAAAAAAAATATCTCTGGGCTGGGGACGCAGCTCAGCTGGTGGGGTGCTTGCTTGCCTGACATACCTGAAACCCTGGGTTTGATCCCCATCACTACATAGAGGGCACCAGGGAGCATGATCCCAGCACAAAGGAGGATCAAAAGTTCCAAGTCAGCCAGAGATACACAAGATCTTTTTGTTTGTTTTTTGTTTTGTTTTGTTTTTCGAGGCAGGGTTTCTCTGTGTAGCTTTGCACCTTTCCTTGAACTCATTTGGTAGACCAGGCTAGCCTTGAACTCACAGAGATCCACCTGGCTCTGCCTCCCGTGCTGGGATTAAAGTTATGCACCACCACGCCCAGCTCCTTTTGTATTCTTAATATAATCACTATACACTCCTTAGCCCAGGCAGGTCTCCAACAATTCTTTTGCTTCTGCCTTCCCAGCTACCTACATCACAAGCACCGTGTCCACCTTGTGCTCAACAGTTACTGATGGACAAGAAAGCATAGGACCCAACGTAAAGATCATGATTAAAAGCAATTTATGAACCAGGTAGAATGGCTCATAACTGTAATCCTAGCACTTGAGAGGCTGAGACAGGAGGATTGCCAAACTGAGCTGTATAGTGAAGCCAGACTTACGGTTGAGTATGTAGTTCAGTAGTAAACATTTACCTAGCATTCCTGAGGTTCATTCCCCAAACAGAGCAAACCACAACAAAACCCCTGTACATTTAAGGGGGCTCAGGAAAAATAAAGGAAGGAGGTGAGAACAGAGAAACTGGAAGATTCAATCAAGCTGCTTTCCATTCTGAGAAGTGGTACCTGGTGGCTAGGGAAATGGCGGTTCCCTAACCTTTCTTCCTAAGGTGTAGACTGGATGAGGATAGTATCGCCTACCTCCCTGCTGTAAGAAGCAAAGGGCAGCCTGCTCCTCGAGAGAAGCCCACCCCCAGACACCGCACCAACTCCTAACAGGCCAGTTATGACGGTGGCAATGATGCCAATTGTGATGACGATGATGACGGCCACAGGAAGAGAGACTGTGGGAATGTCATTTTATTATTATTATTACATTATGTGGGGCAAGGGGCATGGGTGCACACCGCATTGAGCATGTGGAGGTCAGAGGACAACTCTTGGGAGCTGATGCTGGAATGTTCTTACACTTGGAAGGGTCCAAAGGTAAATACCGGGTAAGGGCGAGTGAGATGGCTCTGTGGTCACCGTGCTGGGATCTTCAACTCCCCCAAGTGGTCCTGTGTCTTGTTCTGGTCCCTTCAGGCACCGGCTCCCACAGGGGCCTGCCCCTCCACCCCCACCCCCACACATCACTTAAAATGAAATACTTAAAAAAAAAAAATTGGGAGAGGAAAAAACAAACTACTTTAAAAGGTAATGAATTATTAGCTGGGTGTGGTGATACCTATAATTCCATCACTCGGGTGCTGAGGCCGGGCAATTGTGAGTTCCAGGTCAGCCTGGGCGACTTAACTCTGAAAAAAAACAGTGGGGGAGGGAATGGGGAAGACTGACAAAGAATCAGAAAAGTCACTAAAGACAAAAGCCACGGTCCTGCGGCACAGGTGGAGAAAGAGGACCACTAGCTGTCACTGTGCCCAACAGTAATCGCCATGCTCCATAGGTCATCTCCATAAGATAGATTTAATCAAGTCTGTGTCAAAGGTTGACCAGCAATGTTTGTAATCAGAGAGGTGTAGGAGGAAGTTTGAAGGGATAGCCACACCAGTTTTAAAGCACTTTATTTTTTCAATGCAAGGGATCTGATCGAGGGCCTTGGACATCTAGGTGAGAGTACACACCAGTGGAACCGTACCCCTGGGCGTCTGGGACTGAACAGGACGATGTAGCTTCTTCTTGTTAAGGTTTTTAAGTTAATTCAGTAGAAGTAATTAGTATATGTATGATCTATTTCTCTCTTACAAAAAAAAAAATTAGCCTAGGCTGGGTAGGTGTGGTAGTGCCTGCTTTCAATCCCAGCACTGGGGAGGTAGAGGCAGGCAGATCTCTGAGTTTGAGACTAGCCTGGCCTACAGAGCTAGTTCCAGGACAGCCAGGACTACACAGAAAAACCCTATATCAGAAAGGAGGAGGGGAAGTGCTATGGGATGGTCTTTCTGTACGCTGTGAGTATGTGTTGCTACCACTGGTTAATAAAGAAGCTGCTCTGGCTCATGGCAAGACAGGATATAGCCAGGCGGGAAATCCAAGAGAGAGACAGGGAGAAGAGAGGCAGGTCAGAGGGGATGCTGTGAGCCACAGCCTGAGAAGCAAGATACAATGGAACTCAGGTAAAGCCAGGAGAAACATGGCAATACATAGATTAATGGAAATGTGTTAATTTAAGATGTAATATGTTGCCGGGCGGTGGTGGCGCACGCCTTTAATCCCAGCACTCGGGAGGCAGAGGCAGGCGGATCTTTGTGAGTTCGAGGCCAGCCTGGTCTCCAAAGCAAGTTCCAGGAAAGGCGCAAAGCTACACAGAGAAACCCTGTCTCGAGAAAAAAAATAATATAAAATAAATAATTTTTTTTAAAAAGTGAAAAGGCATTCTATAGTTAAGTTCAGACAGTATGGCCAAGGCAAAGTTTCAAAGAAGCTGTAGAGATCTAGGAACATGATATAGGTTTTTGTTTTTGTTGTTATTTTGTTTTTTAAATGGGTAAAAATACAGTTTTATTGGAGGAACTCATATCTAAGTTACTTTCAGTTTCTAAGAACTCCTAACAAGCATCCAGAAAGAAAGCACACACAGGTTCAAATGAACAAGACGAACAGGCTGTAGCCACCGCAAGGACACCACCTAAAAAGTGTTACCTACCTCCTGAGGAAAGTAAGCACACTGAGCGTCATAAATAAGACTTCCTTACTTTATATAGGAAGGAAGTGTTGTACCTGTTTCTCGAAACCCCCAGAGACCACCAAGGAGCCGGTTTCCGATGCAAGCACATAAGGGTCCTTTTAATTCAGGTTCAACCTGGGCCACCGCCAGGCAGATGGAGGGAAATGCGGCGTCAGCCACGAGCCCAGGTGTAGAGAATTTTTATAGGGAAAAAACACAAGCCAGGAATTGGCAACTTGGGATTGGGTAGAAGGGATATGGCACAAGGTGATTTTTTGAAACTATTGGTCTAGACTTTGGGGGCGAAACCACATTTGAAACCATTGGTTTAGACTTTTGGCGGGGAACCACAGCCCGCTGAACAGGATTATCTGGACTGCTCAGCAAGATTATCTAGATATCTTCAAGGGCATAAACTGCAGACAGGATGTCTGCAGGATACTGCTCTGTATCTGTTCCAGTTGCCATGGCACATTCCTGAGGTCCTTTCTGGAACTGAGTACAGCAGGTGGTCTGAGATGGTGGCCCTTTCCCCAAGATGGAGCCTGTAAAGTCAAGTCTAGGCCTTCACAGAAGAACCAAGGTCCTATTTGGAGGTGTATTAAATGCAAAATATAAAATACTCTCTGGCCCAGATGAGGGGGGACATTCTCCAACACCTCAAGTCTCATGCAATAAAATCCAGAGGTCTGTTGAATCCGCCTTTTCGGTTCATGTACTGCCTGTATTTCCTCTTCTGAGACACGTTTATGGCATAGGCGTTTACGGAGCCAGCTACCTTCTTCCCTTTTGTGGAGTCAAAAGAAGCAAATCCCATTAACTTCATCATTTCTATTTCTTCCTCTGTCTTACCTTCCAGATTTTCCTCACTGATCGGACGTTCTTCGATCTTTACTTCTGCAGTTTCTTTCTTCTCCACATCTCTTCTTTCCTTCAGTCGAGAATGGGAAGGAGATGTGGATCTATGTCGCCTTGGAGACCTGGAGCGTCTTTGGTGTGGGGATCTTGAGCGGCTCCTTCTGGACCTTTTTTGGCGCCTTCTTTCTGGATCCTGTGATGTGGACCTGGACTGCCTACGTTCCCTCCGCGGGGAGTGGCCACGGCTACGACCCATCGGAGCCCTACTCCTCTCTTTTTTGTTATTTTTTTGCTGTTGGTTTTTTTTCTCGAGCCAAGGTTTCTCTGAGTAGCCTTGGCTGTCTTGGAACTTACTCTGTAGACCTGGCTGCCTCTGCTTCCCGAGTGCTGGGATTAAAGACCATGGCCCAGCTTTAAGTGGATCTTAAAATATAAAGTACGAGTATGTAGCCAGGCGTGGTGGTGCATGCCTTTAATCCAAACACTATGGAGATTGAAGCAGGCAGATCTCTTGTGAGTTCAAGGTCAGCCTGGTCTACAGAGCTAGTTTCAGGAGGGCCCAGGCTACACAGAGAAGCACTATCTTGGAAAAACAAACAAACAAAAGTATGAATATGTAAAGGATAGACAGAACAGAGAGAATAAAATGAGAAAGAATGAGCCCAGTGGTGGTGGTGGCGCACACCTTTAATCCCAGTACTCCGGAGGCAGAGCCAGGCGGATCTCTGTGAGGTTGAGGACAGCCTGGTCTACAGAGTGAGTTCTAGGAAAAACACAAAGCTACACAGAGAAACCCTGTCTCAAGGAAAAAAAAAAATAGGAAGGATGTAGGCACAGAAGCATACACCTTTAATCACAGCATGCATGAGGCAGAAGTGAGCTGATGTCTGTGAATTCACAGTCAGCCTCATCTACATAGTGAGTTCCAGGACAGCCAGGGCTATGTATAGAGACCTTCTCTCAAATAGATAGATAGATAAATAGATAGGTAGACAGACATATCTATCTAGATATTAGGAAGGGAAACAAAAGATGCTTTGGGTCATATCCTGTCACTGTTGTATGTGTGTATCTAAATGCGAATGTGTACACTTACATGGAAATGCTCTCAAAGGCCAGAAGAGGGCATTGGATTTCGTGGAGCCAGAGCCATTGGATGAAGGTGCTAAGAATCAGCGTCTGTCCTCAGCATGAGCAGTCCATATTTGTAACTGATGAGCCATGATCTCTCCAGCCTCGGCATGTTTTTTGTATTTCCCTCCAACCCTTGATATGATAAAAGTTTCCTTAAATAAAGCAAAGGCAGGAATCCAGAGGGGGCGTCGGTAGGCTCTCCTGGAGGCCGGCCACAGAACGGGAGAGATAACAAAGCTGGCTGACTTCCCTTCCCAGAGGAGAGACAGAAGGTCCCCAATGCAAAGAACCTTTCTAAGCTGCCAGTTGCTGCCTACGGTATCAGCCCACATCCGGGTCAGTTCCCGGCATGCCTGAAATCCAGATGCCAGCAAAGGCAGCCACTAACGCACTGGCTCACTTGGAGAAACCCAAATTTACTTTTCATCGGACGGATACTTCCTCTTTTCCAGCTCTGTTTTCCTCTCCTTGGAGGTGCTGAGCTACTAGAAACAGACACATCTCAGCACAGCCAGGGCTTCTAGGCAAGCAGCCAAGCTGTCCGGCCTCCCTCGCTAACAAACCTTTGTCAAAGACCCTTGGAAGCAGCTTGTTTTGTTTTGTGGGCTTTTGTTTGTGTTTTTGTGTTTGTGTTACGGAAGTGGTGATTTGAGGGTTTTTTTGTTTTGTTTTGTTCCTCTGCTTTTTTGTTTGTTTGTTTTTGTTTTTGTTTTTTACATGGGAGCTGAGTTCACTTCCCAGGAACCACATGGTAGCTCACAAAACCACCTGTAAGTCTAGTTCCAGGGGACTTGACATCCTTCTCTGTCCTCCAGCAGCCTCCTGCATGATCACACACGATACCTATAAACTGACAGGGTCATACACACACACACACACACACACACACACACACACACATGCACCCACACGTAGAATAACTAACGCTTTAAATTTTTTTTGCATGTATTTCTTTTATTATATGTCTGTGTATGTGGGCTGTGTGGGGAGACAGCTCTTTCCTTCCACACTATGAGCCTGGGAACAGAACTCAGTTCTTGGGGCTTGACAGCAAGCACCTCACCTGGTGAGCTAGCTCCCCAGCTCTTGACAGTTTTGCATTTGGGGTTTTGATGCTATTTCCAGTATTGGGGACTGAGTGAACTAGGCCCGTCCGTGTGCAAAACATCACACAACTGCTGAGCCGCATCCCCAGCCCTCCGCGCTCTCTTTAAGATGAAGACTCACTAAAGTGCCCAAGCTGTCCTTGAACTCAATCTGTACATAAGATTGTGCTTGAATATGTCATCCTCCTGCCTCAGCCTCTGAAGTACCACTGTACCTGGCTTACTTTGTTTTCTATTTTATTTTGGTGGTTATTGTTTCTATTTGTTTATTGTCATTTATTTGTTTTTATGGGATCTAACTGTAGCTCAGGAGGGCATGAAATTCACTCTGGCTTGGGGGTGACTCCATCTCAAAAGGATCTACCTGCCTCAGTTTCCCCACCATGCTCAGCTCCATTTAATTTTATTTCTGCGTATGCACGCTTTGTCTTCACTTATGTCTGTGTACCATGTCTGTGCCTGGTGCCTGTGGAGGCCACAGAGGGGCATCGGATCCCCTGGAGCTGGAGTTACAGATGCTTGTAAGCCTCCATGTGGGTGTTGGGAATTGAACCCGGGTCCTCTAGAAGAACAGCCAGTGCTCTTAACCACTGAATCATCTCTCCAGCCCTGTTAAACATGGTCTTACACTGTAGTCCTGGCTTTGTTTTATTTTTAAGATGGGATCCAAACCCCTCAGACTCAAGGAATCTTTCTGCCTCAGCCTTCTCAGTAGCTGAGATTACAGACTTCTGTAGTAGGACAGGCCCATAGGGTCGAGGAAATTGGCTCAAACCAGTTGCCAAGGCATGCACATAACATACTCCCTTATGAGCCAACCTGGAGTCTGCCTGCGGGCTTAGCAACAGGCGCTGTCAGAGGTCCTGATCTTGCAGAGTTCCTAGTGGCTGTCAGAGTGCCCAGCCAATGAGGGATGACCAGGCCATGCTACCAGATTGGGACGTAGCTTGGGTGCTGGGAGGAGAGTATATAAGGCCTTCCCCATTATTGAATAAAGGAATTTGTTGTTTGCCTTCAACTGACTCCCAGTGTCTGTGCCATTGACATCGAGCGTTCTCACGCCCTCCACCGAGGGAGCTGTTAGGATCCAGCAACAGGCCTCAACAGTGTACAACAGATGCCTGGAAGCAAGAGTCTTGAGTGTCTGAATACAAAGTTGGCCGTCCCCAGGAACTTAGCAAGCTGTGCAGCTCCATACAGCACTGGCATTACCTTTCCTTGCCCGGGTGGCCTTTGATTCTGTGTTCAGAGATACCACTTGACTAAGGAGCCATATGATTGGGGCATGGTGGCACATGCTTGTGATCCCAGAAGTCATGGAAGCTAAAGTGGGAAGAGCAGGAGTTCTAGGTCAAAATAAGGGCTAAAAAAGACACCCACTCATCAAGAGAAGGTCACACTTTCGTGGGTCATCGTAGTCTCTGAAATCACTCTTATGAATGGGAGTTAAGCTGGCAAACAGCCAGTCATGAGTTCCTTGTGTTTGTTTCAGACTAATTGGAGGCCGCCAGGTCTTCTCTCCCTCTCCACCCTGACCACTGTAGCCACTTCTTTTCAAACTCACAGTCAGGTGGTAGTGGCACACGCCTTTAATTCCAGCACTTGGGAAGCAGAGGTAGACAGATCTCTGTGAGTTTTGAGGCCAGCCTGGGCTACAGAGCAAGTTCCAGAACAGCCAGGGATACACAGTGAAACCCTGTCTCAAAAAAGCAAACTCACAGCAATTATTTGTAGTGCTGATATGACACCATCTAAGGATTTAGTGTCGCCATCTAAAGAACAGTGACCATCACACTGTGGCTAAGTGACAGAACACTTGTCTAGCACACCTAAGGCTCTGTGTCCAACATCCAGCACCTTAATTATCAGTCAGCCAATCAAATTAGGACTGGAGATGAGGCTCGGTGGTAAAAGCACTTGCCTAACATGTGGTGGGCACTGGGTTCAATCTGTAGCACTGGGGGAAAAAGATAAAGTTATTTATAATAGTTAATAATAGTCATTTTTCTATTGCTGTGATAAAAACACCCCGAAAAGGCAGTTTACAGAAGGAAGGATTTAGTGGAGCTTATGGTTGCTTAGGGTGAGAGTCCATGATGTCAGAGCTCAGGCAGCAGGCAGGGCAGACCGAGCGACTGAAGGCTCACGTCCCGAACCAAAGCAAACAGAGAGAACAAACTCTGAATGGCCTGAGTCTTTAAGCTTTCAAAGCCCATCCGGAGATGTTCTTCCTTCAGCAAAGCCATAGCAACTAAACCTCCCCACACCGTCATCAGTGGAGACCAAGTCCAAAGGCCTGAGACTCGGGGACACATTGACTGTTTGTTTGTTTCGTGTAGCAGGCTATTTTTGGACTGTCAGCCGAAAAATAATGACCTAGAGACTTATTATTAATTATGAAAACTTGGCCTTAGCCTAGGCTTTTTCCCAACTAGCTCTTATAACTTAATTAGCCCATATTTTTTAATGTACATTCTGCCACGTGGCTCGGTTACCTCTTAGTATATCACATCCAACTTGCTCCAAGTCTGCTGGCAAAATCCTCTGCCTAGATTTTTCCTTCCAATTTCTCTCTCTGCCCAGAAGTCCTGCTTGCTCTCCTCTGCCCAGCCATTCGCCATTTAGCTCTTTATTAAACCAATCAGAAAGCATTTATGCAGAGACACATCTTTACAGCGTAAACAAATATTCCAAAACAATTTTGTTTGTTTTGTTTATAAAGACAGGGTTTTGCTGTGTAGCCCTGGCTGTCCTGGAACTTGCTTTGTAGATCAGGTTGGCCTCAAACTCACAGAGATCCACCTGACTCTGCCTCCCAAGTACTAGGATTAAAGGCGTGTGCCACCACCGCCCAGTGGCCATCATTGTTTTGATTATAATGAAAAGGCAGGTGGCTGTTCACTCTTGCACAATACAGACTTAATAGGTGCCTCATGGATGCAAAAGGTAATGAATTAGTCTCATAAAAATACAAACTTCACAGCAACTGATGGAGGCAGATGCAGAGACCCACAGCCAAACATTAGGCGGAGTTCTGGAATCCTGTGGAGGAGGAGAAAGGAGTGTATGACCCAGAGGGGTCAAGGACACCACAGGAAGGCTCACACAATCAACTAACCTGGGCTCATAGGGGCTCACAGAGACTGAACCAACAACCAGAGAGCCTGCATGGGACTGACCTA